CGTAGAGGCCACCAGGGGACACAGCTTTAAGCTCTTAAAACCAAGGGCTCTCCTCGGTGTACCGTTTAACTTCTACACGAACCGAGTGGTTGATAGATGGAATCAGCTACCACCTCACCTGATGGATTGTGCGAGTACAGTCGATTTCAAGAAGCAGNTAGACAGGGTTTGGACCCAGATATACCACAAGGTAGTATAGAAGCAGGATCTGAGATTGTTTAGGGTTGACATGTTACTTGTTTTCCAATTAATCTCCCTTACAGGTATCGTACCGGAACCAGTTTTCTGCCGCAAAACAGTTGCAAGACAGCGGACTGAAACGATTTTCGAAGCTTTGGGAGAAGAAACCTTCCTACCGAAGCAAGAATCTGGACGCTTGGTTGGCGGAAGCCTTTTCCGTCCTATGCAACCTGACCTGACCTGATCTAGCGGGTTGATTGACGTGCTGCACCAGGCGTAGAACTGTCATGAAGTTCACTATTTTTCTACCAAAACCAGAGTGAGGGACCCACAGGCTTTCCCAGTCTACCTCAGGAGAGTTGAAGTCTTCTGTGATGACCATCCGCTCCTCATGGTTGCTTACCGTGATCAGATGGTCGCACAGTTGGCCATCCTCCTCCTCACCTGAGTGGTGCCCTGTAGATACCTAATACCATCACTAAACAGTTCGGGGATTGTATGTTGCATGAGCGCGCCTGGATATTCGGCGTGGACATGTGATCGCCCTAGGCCTGATCTAGGGTGTCTGAAACAAGGAGCAATATGTATTGTATTGTATTGTATTGTATTCAAGCTTTAGTTAGTTATATATACAAGCTTTCATTCAAAAATAGACCACCGTTACAATTCTGGTAAAAACAGGGGAAAAAGTGGGATGTGAAAACGTACAAAGGTATGAGTTAATTACCAAATGCATTAGAAAGCTCAGAGCGAACACTTTCCTTGTCGGTCAGTATCCGGGCAAGATAGGATACCGAAGAGTTTCTGTATGCGGATATGCGAGACGGGATAAGTTTGTACTTGGAACGGGTGCAGGGGTGGGATTTGCATGCACACAAGTCAGTGTGTAGAAGATGGGTGCAATCAGGTAGGATATTGTCAGCAAACTTTAAGCATGCATCAATATGGGCATTACACATATGGCCAATCAGAACAGATAATGAAACTTGGGAGACACGGCTGATCATTGAGAGGCCACTCCTCAGCAACTTGAAATCAGCCTTCAACAAACCAGGGAAAATTACAGGAGGGCAATAAACGGGTATACGGAGGACACATTGTTGAACGGAAGTGTTTATCACCGACGAGTCAGAACAGAATTAGCGCAATCTTCTGATCTGAAAAGAGACCCTTTTCAACTTGCGAGCAATACTTTGGGTAAATAAGGACCAGCGAAGGTTACTCTCAAGTGTGACACCTAAGTACTTTACATGGCTGACCCTACTCATCGGCTTTCCATGAATCTGGACATTGTCAGAGGGAGATAAGGTACGGTTAAGAGTGAAAATACATTCAAGGCATTTTTCAGGATTAAGATTAAGACCGGAAGAAGTGGAATATGAAACGAGGTGGGATAGGTGGTGGGATAGGATATGCCACCTCCACCCCTACCATCTTCCATGTTAGACCTGTACGAGCGGTACCCCGTGAGTTGCAGGCTTTCCGTTATGATAGCTTCGTGTAACCATGTCTCGGCAATCACAGTACAGTCTGATCCTACGTTTACAGATCATAGTTCTCTCCACTTGTTGCCTAGGCTGCAGGTATTCGTGTAGAATGCCGATAACCCCCAGCCCAAGCCCCCTCCTATTCTTGGTGTCACTAGAGTCTAGTGCACTCTTAGGCGAACCGCCCGAGTGCCCTCTTCGTTTTTTGTCGCCATCATACTCATGGCCCTCAGTCGCTGGGGCACCGCAGAGGAAATGGCGTCAACACTGGCCCTTCGAGCCACCTTAACCCACAATCCCTTACCAGTCTCCAATTGATTAGGTACAACATCGTCCGGCTTATCTTTACGATAAGCTGTGAGCATTATCATCCGTTCTAGTAGCGTGGGCTCCGGGCCTTCTTCGGTACGTCTGTGTCCTGTGGGTGATAATGTTGATGTAGTTGAGCCAGATCTGGGAGTGGATGTGGTACTTTGAGCAACGGCTGCCGGTGACTAATGCTGTCTTGAAGTCTTGAGGTATTTCACGGTTTCGAGGCTAGGCCCAATGGTCCCGGATCTTTGTTTGTCGGTTTTCGAATGATGGGTAATGCCCCCTGACGACAATTTGAGAGCACGGCCCGCTAGTGATGGGGATTGTGATTTCGTCAGCATAAACAGCAATGTTAACTGAGATTTTGTCCGGGAGGTCATTTATACATAAGATGAAAAGGAGTGGACCTAGAACGGATCCCTGGGGAACACCTATAGTCATCGAGGAAGAGATGGAGAAAGAGGTTCCTGCTCTGACAGAGAAGGAGCTCGAGGATAGAAAGCTGCCCAGAAGGTTAAGAAGCCTGCTTCTAATACCATACATTTCCAGCTTGTGCAATAGTGGAGAATGTGGTACTCGATCAAAGGCTTTGGCAAAATCTATGAAGTTTGCATGTGAGATTTTACCATCATTCTAGGTCTGGGTTAGACTTTCCATGACATATAGCATATTGGTGACGCATGATCTGCCAGGAACGAAGCCGTGTTGAAGGGGAGGAAGATGGTTGTTTTCCTTGAGGTGTTCAATAATGTCTCTTAATGAGACATTCAAAAAGTTAGCTGAGGACGCTAGTTAGACTTATCGGTCTGTAGCTGCTTGCGTGTTGCCGGGGTTCCCTTTTGTAAATCGGTGATACGGTAGCCTTTTTCCAGCCATCAGGGAATTTACCTTTATGTAGACTGTTTTGAAACAGCCGTCTGTATTGTGAGGCTAGAACAGCTGTTGTCTCTGAGTATTCTGGGATGGACCTCGTCTGGGCCCGTTGAGCTATAAGGGTTTAGTGACTTTATGAGGTTTGAGTACTTCTTTGGTCTGAACAATGAAGTGCTCTAAGGGGGCTACACCTGACTGAGGCTGTAGAGCAGGAAAGAAAGTGGGTGGAGCGGAGTTGAAAATATTTTGGAAGTGAGTTCGGAAGGTTTTCGCTACATCTTCAGGTGAGGAAATTAGGCAATCGGCAGGAAGTTTCAGGGCTAGAGTAAAAAAACTGGGTTGCCTTCTATGGCGAAAATGTTTCATGAGGCAGGAGGGGTTTTTTCTTGTCATGAATAAGATATCTTTTTTGCCAGTTGAACAATTCCCTTGCATAGGTTTCGGATAAGTTTGAATTTATCCGCGTCAATATCCAAGTTTGTGAGCTTGTACCTCGCAAAGAGGACGTTCCGTTCGTCCAGAAGCCAATGTATTGAACTTGGAAGAGGAGGACCGCTTTTGGTTGCGATAAATATCTTGGGAACGAACAAGCAATCGCCTGTTTGGAATACGTTCTCAATTTGATCATTGAGTCCGTTTGTTTCTGTGGATAGGTTAACAGAGGTCAGATTTGCTGCTTAGTAATCTCTTAGAGCAGCGAAGTTAGTCCGCTTGAAGAACCGCGAGGCTCTTGGTGCTGAATTATAAGATGGTCAATGAACGATGAAGTCAAAGCTCAGTAGAGAGTGGTCACTCTTTACAAGTGGGCAGAGAGTGTGGACCTCGTCGATTTGGTGCCGATTGATTGTTATCACCCATAGAATGTATATCATGGGAATGGGATCCTGGAGTACTAAGATGGCTGGAGTAAGGGACTGGCTCAGGCAAATAGCTATACCATCGGCGCGGCCTCATTTTGAGTCGCTCCTCAAAAGTGTTTAGCCATCTATTCTGACTTCCCCGTCTGAGATATCTGGAGTTGGAATATGCATCGCACACCAGTTCCCTTTGATTTCCCACGCCTATCCACATGTACAACCTACTCCCTACGTCAAAATAACTCGCGCCTCATTATCCCAAAATACAGGGCAGCACTTAGATCTAAATTCTTTATCATAAAATATGCTAGACTATGGAACAGACTACCTCCCCATTTAATCAACTGTAATTCATACTTCCGATTCAAAGTATTACTTGGCCGATACCTCAGTGTTGAAAACGCTACACAACTAACTGGCAATAATCTTCACATATCTACTGCTTTTGAAAATGTATCCGATTATTAAATATTAAAAACAGTGAATTCATTTACGATGCAGTGGTAACACGAAACAACCAAAAGCATAATCAGTCATCAACTAGAGTCAGCTTCTTCAGTTCAAAAACTGGATAAGTGGAATCGAAAACCCAACAGCGCACGCAGTCAGCTACCACGCTGACTAGGTGGAACAGAATCTAACTTGGAACATACTTTTATAAGTATTGTGACCCATCTCTCCTTAATTTATATATATCTCTGATTCCGTTTTCCTCCGAATCAATTGACCCAACTCCGTGGCAAATGCTAACCAGGTAGCAGTGTCCACTTTCTCAACCAATTTCACATCAGTACACGGATCCAGATTTGAAGCTGGATCTGTGGAACACAACCTAATTTGGTACATACTTTTATAAGTATTGTAACCCATCTTACCTTTCTTTATATATATCTGATTGCGATGTTCTACCATTACGGTATCCACCTCCATTTTGGTTCTGTAGAACTAGATATATCCTGACAACATCCTTTCACCGGTATTTTGACCTATGCACTCTGCTTGATTGGAATTGGTCGTTTGCTTCTTGCTATTTCTTTCCCTTATCCCTTCTCAGCTGGCCTGCAACCCAGAGTACCGATGTACGTCTTCC